CCTGCCTCGAGCAAGAATCCTCAGCCCCCCCCCAGTCCAACAGCTGTCCAATCTTTGCTTGAAACCTCCTGTGATGGACCCCCACAACTCCAGGAGGCCGCCTGTTCCGCCGCCGAAGACCTTTCACGGTCACAAAGAAATCTGTCCATCTAACCATAAACCACACTGCAGTTTCAAACCAGAGGAAGTTCCCACCATAGCCTAAGCCACAAAATAAAGCCCACCAACGAAGCTCAAATAAATCAGGTGATTATGGGAACAAGTCCTACTGTCTTCTGCATACCGGGCCAATAGTGATTATCCATCAAGCTCAGCAAGCCGTGGTTAGTGTGATGTGTGGGTTCTATAGGTATTTATCCACGCGTGTGTACGAGGGAGAGGGGAAAAAAATGATATGCAGAGACAACTACCATTCTTAACTGTGATATTCCCAGCCTACACAAACTAGGTTTTCTGGTTTTCAAGGATCATTAATAATCTGCACCAACTTTATGCCTGGGAAGATATATTCCAAGTGAAATACTGAAAACAGAGACATCACCCTCTACCCAAGAATGTCTTTTCTGCTTTGGGCACAGGAGCTCCAAGGAGCAAATTACACTTACCGATTTCCCAACCGGAAAATCACAAGGGAGAAAGGGTTCTTGGAGGCTTAATCCAGTTTGTTGTTCTTTGGCGTGGCCCAGCGCCAGTAATTGACTTTGCTGCTCCCAAAGACAATAGAGGGATACTGTATAATACCCATTTGGGGCACAGCGACCTATTTACGGGCTCTGCCCTTCAACAAAAAATAAGCATTGTTTCCAGATTCACTTGGCTGGGCTGAAACCCAAGCTGCCATGGTTAAACTCCCTCAGGCTGAGCCATAGCGGGCACCCCAATGCCAAGTGCCATGTCTGAGGAGAAACATGGCACCTGCCATTGGCTATCCTTAGTGGAAATAATTCCACGCCAGGAGATCCCATGTTCTTCATTTTGAACCTGGTGTTTCTCAGTTTTGATGGGGGCTGCAATGGACAGGATGCTGATGACGCCAGGGGCAAGCTAAGTTGCTTAATACAGAAATCTCTCATGGTTTTGTCCCCCTCCCCGCCTGCCCCACCCGCAGTGCCAACACAGCTGTAATTGCATTTTCCAGACCGAGAGATGATCAGGGTGGAATATTTATTCTGACTCACTGAGCGTGTAGCATATCTAAAGTAGGAGGCACCTGGCATGCGTGTTATCAAGGTATGTAATGGTAGTTTGTATTGGCATCTTAATTTCTGTGTGTTTTTTTTTAATGCCTGCACATTTTATAACAAGGTCAGTTGCATTGCTAAGGATGGCCCAGCCAGAACTGCCTTGTTGTCTTGCATGGAAATAGAGAGAGAGGGGGAAAGAAAAAAGGAGCAGCTGCTGAAAATATTCCACTGAATAATGGTCCTTCTGCCTTGTTTCTAGAATTCTGGGCCCAGAACCCTGAAAAGGTCCAAAACAGGTCAGAAAGATATACTTGGAGAAAAAAGTATTAGATTCTTAACCTATTTTTTCCAACACTCAAGTTTATCTTCATAAGAATAGTGTCATTCAAATCAGGTTATTGCTGATTTGAATGGCTTATATCATGTGGACTAGAGCCTTGAGTGTCATTAATTCAGGAAACACGACGAGTGAATTAATTCTTTCGCCAAGTCCTCCTCTTCTCAGCCTGCCCCTCCTGCACTTCCCACATTCCCTAATCAGGACGAGACCCAGCAGGTTTTGATTCGCACAACACATCAAACTAGATGATTGAAATGTACCCACTTTCTGGATGTACACATCACCTTGAACCCTAACCAAACAGGGTGGGTTTGTGTCCTGCCCTTAAGTTGCACACAAACAAACCCTAACCAGGGTTAAAACCAACCAAGTTTGGGATGCTGGGTTGTTTTAAATCAACCTGGGAAACTTGTGAGAACTAAGCAGAGCTTGCCAGATGAACCCGATGTTCTGAGTTTATACAAATAGTGAAGGAGAAACCTTCCACAAGGGCTCTCTGCCCTCTACTTGAAGCAAAATTGTGGTTGGCTGTGCTTGTGGTGTTCTCCCAACACGTTTCCTAAATTCACCCACTTTTCCATCAGTATAATACAGCTGTTTGTCAACTTCAACAACTTTAAGGTGTGTGGACTTCAACGCCCAGAATCCCCCAGCCAGAATTCCCCAGCCTCAAGACCATGTCTGGA